ACAGGGGGCCTGTTGTGGGGAGGGGAAGGGAAAGGAGACTGTAAGCCACTCTGAGACTCCTTCGGGAAGCGAAGGGCGGGGCATAAATCCAATCTCTTCTTCTCCTCTTCTTCTTCGTGCCCTTTTCTGTAACTAGCTTTGACAGATCGTATTATGGGGAGCACGCCAAAGAAGGCGATAACGTTCTATCTGCATGATTTCTATGGAAGACTGTCGGCCTTTCTCTGTGATGAATTTTGGTCATGTTCTTCTTAAAGCCAAGAATACACACGGCTGCTGTGATTGATTCTGCACTGCTGGAGTGTTTTTAATCTTTCTCTGGCCACCTCATCATTGTACTATGGAGAATGCTTGCATTCTGGGGGGTTAATTAGATCCGCCGTTCTGCCAGTGGACGTTTGAAACAATTGGCGCCGTTGTCCATCAGGGGTTGTTGCTGGGGTCAGCGTTAAATCTGCAGTACTGCCCAGAAACAACAGTATTCCAAAATTAATGTTACTACTGTCTTAAACAATGAATGAACGAACGAATGATTGATTTTTAAAGACAGCTTGTTTAAACCTTTAATGGAAGAGCCCGTTCGTGGGGAGGGCAAATAAATAAGGAGTGACATAATTATCTCCAGCTGTCGCTTTCCTTGCTTTCTTTGCCTTGGTTAGTCTAGATCAGGGGTCCCCAACGTGACGTCCGTAGGTGCCACGGGGCCTGTCAGCACCTTTCCTGGCGCCCGCCAAGGGTTTGTAGAAACTGGGCGGGGCTTTTGCCAGCAAGGCCTTTGATTGACTACTGGAGAACTGATTGGCTGTCTTGATTTTTAAAAAACTTGCTTTGGCAGCAGCTGCCATCACAGCACGAAGATCTTTACGGTATGACTGAGGTTAATCCACGGCAGTCGTTTAGTGGCTGGCTCCGCCTCCGGTGGCATCCATTTTGTGGCCACACCCACCTCTCTGTGTCAGGATTCCAAAGGTGTTCGCAGGCTCAAAACGTTTGGGGACCCCAGGTCTAGACAGTTTAGAAAATCCACAAGCCTCTCCTCTATAAACCATTATTTGGCTCAGGGGTTAAGATGCTGAGCTGCAGACCGGAAGTTTGAGACCCGAGTGTGCCGCATGATGGAGTGAGCTCCCGTCTCTGGCCCCAGCTCCTGCCAACCTAGCAATTCGAAAGCAAGAAACTGCAAGTAGATAAATAGGTACCGCTTCGGCGGGAAGGTAACAGCGTTCCGTGTGCCTCGGCGTTTAGTCATGCCAGCCACACGACCATGGAAACGTCTTCAGACAGCGCTGGCTCTTCGGCTTGGACATGGAGATGAGTAGGAGCTGCAGTGGCTCAAGTGGTTAAGACGCTGAACTGCAGCCTGTGGAAGGTCGGTAGTTCAGCAGTTTGAAACCCGAGTGTGCCGCATGACGGAGTGAGCTCCCGTCTCTAATTCCAGCTCCTGCCAACCTACTCGTTCGAAAGCAAGAAAATGCAAGTAGATAAATAGGTACCACTTTGGTGGGAAGGTAACAGTGTTCCGTGCGCCTTGGTGTTTAGTCATGCCAGCCACATGACCACGGAAATGTCTTCGGACAGCGCTGGCTCTTCGGCTTTGAAACGGGGATGAGCACCGCAACCCTAGAGTCGGATTCGACTGGCTTTCGAGCAAGGGAACCTTTACTTTTACCTTTACCGCCCCCTAGAGTCGAATTCGACTGGCTTTCAAGCAGGGGGAACCTTTACCTTGACCTATATACTCGCTTGGCGATTGCAGCATTGAAATTGGTCCCTGAATGCCCACGACTTTGCACATTCTTGAACCGTCTCCCCTCCCTGAGTCTACTAGGCATTCCACTTTTGAAACCCAGGATCGGAGAATCCTAAGAGTGAGAACTCCTAAACACGTTAACATGGCAGGTCCTTTCCTCCTGCCACCAGGTCTACTCTCTACCATTTCCCCAGTACAGGAGTAAGCAGCTAAATGTATCTGATAAGCAGGAAAACTATGAGAAAATTAACACAAACACAATCATGAGATTGTTTTAAAAATAAGTCGGAGGGGATGGATGAAGGCATGAATGGAGGAAGGGGTGATAATGCTAAACCTCCCTCCTCTTAAAGGATATTGCTGTGCTTTGAAGATTCCATGACAGGCATGGGGAAATAGTAGAGATGTGAAGGCCCGGAAAAAAAACGGAAAAATTAGGGGAAAAACCGTCCCCCCCCCTTTTTTTTCCTGAAGCGTTTTTGTTTTTTTCCGAAAAATTGGAAAAATTGAAAAAAGAAAAGAAAAAAATTGATTATGGAACGTTTTATTTTAACATGATGAATAAAATATTTTAAGACAAGGTGTTCAAATATTTTCCAAATTATTTCATATATATATGGTATCAGGTTGATCTAATTTCTCTGCACTGCAGACAAGCAAGTCCTAGGTTACAAACTGAACTCTCCAATGCAAGGACAAGATGCATTTCTTCCTTTAGGAGGTGCTATTGTCAGAAGAAAATAAAAAGGTTTCAGTTTTGTTTTTGCATGTGGGTGGGTATTCTGTTTGTAATAATTGTTTGGATACACTATATTTTTAATATGCTAGTTGTGATAATTTCATGCCAAGTAAAAATGTCCATAGTCATATTTTATGTTCCTAAAGTAACAGAATGACTTTCAATCTGGAAAAGACAAAAGAAATGCTAATGTAGCATTTTTTCAATTTTTCTGAAAATTTCCATTTTCCCCCGGAAAAAACTGGGGGAAAAACAGGGTTTTTTCCGAGCTTCAAAATTTCCGGAAATTTTACATCTCTAGGAAATAGCAGATCTCCCAAAAGCGTACTGGCTATCACCAGGATGCTTTTGTTCCTAGAACACAAGAAAAACGCTGCTGGATCAGACCAGAGATCCCTCAAGTCCGTAGTGCTGGTACTCAATACCAGTGAATACCGCCCCCCAAAAAAGAATCTCTGCTGGTATCTCTAGTCTAGGTGTTACTGTTTTTGCTGAGCTGCTCGGGGCCTCTTCAAGAAGAAAAATCAAGTCCCTGTTTCCCTGATAATTTAAATGCTGGCTGACTGAAAGACAGACTTGTTGTTCACGTAGCCAGCGGGGAAGACCCGGCTTCTATGAATGGGTCCCTGCAGCGCCTCGGCCCGTAGCCAGAAAGCGTCAAAGTCTCCACAGTCCCCTGGAGAGAATGGCTGCTTTCTTCTGCTGGCTTTTGTCGCTGGTTGGTTTTCAGGCCAACAATGTCTCTTCTCATTAGATCCGTTCCCAGCTTTCTCGGCCAGAGAGGAGGTTAGACGGTAATTATAGGCATAACCACGCTCTCCTGACAGCCGTTTCTGGTGAGCCTTGGCTGACTCCAAACCGGAAAAACGAAGCTGTATATCAAGATTCAGCAGAAATATTAAAATAAGCCAGCATGATTCAAAGAACAGAACTGTAGATGCAGGGGTTCTGCCACCCAGTAAGCTGGTATTTTGCTTGGAGGCGCTGCTAGATCCACACCGCAAGCTGACCAGGTAGTCTGTCTGCATGGTAGGCCAAAACTATTCTGCAAACCCGGTGGCTGCGATCCTATCTCTTTAGTTTAAACCATGCAGAGCAACATTATTCAAAGACAAGCTGGCATGGCCGGGTGACTCGTGTCAGACTTTAGACTGGCGCTTGCCTCTAAAAAAACCTTCTGTGACTTGGCGTGAGGTCTTGTTGAGCGTGTAGAATTTCACAACTTGCCCATGGAATAGTTTGTCCTGCCTCGATCCTGCAACACTGTAGTAACGTTGAGAGGTTTTTTTTAAAAAGATTTGGCCAATCTTGAAGGCACATTTTACTTGTTTATTTAAAACCTTTTAAAATAGAACCAGTTTGGTGTCGTGGTTAAGTGCACGGACTCTAATCTGGGAGAACTGGGTTTGATTCCCCACTCCTCCACTCGCAGCTGCTGGATGACCTTGGGCAAGCCGTAGTTCGGTCAGAGCTGTCCTTGAAAAGAGCAGTTTCTGTCAGAGCTCTCTCAGCCCCGCCTACCTCACAGGGCGTCTGTTGTGGGGAGGGGGAGGGAAAGGAGTTTGTAAGCCGCTCTGACACTCCGAGTGAAGGGCAGGGTATAAATCCAATCTTCTCCTCCTCTTCGTTACCTTACCACCCGATCAGGGTCCCCAAGGCAGAAAACTGAAGCAGAGCAGGAGTGTATGGGTAGGTTAGTATGGGAGGAGGCAGACCTTAAATTAGGTGGTCCCAGGCCACACAGGGCTTTAGAAGTCAATACCAGTACCTTGAATTGAGCCCAGAAGCAAATTGGAAGCCAGGGTAGAGAGAACAAGACTGGATATGCCCAGGCAAGTCCAATCTTCTCAGATCTCGGAAGCTAGGCAGGGCTGTCCCTGGCTACAATTTGGAAGGGAGACCTCCAAGGAATACCAGGGTCGTGATGAAGAGGCAGGCAATGGCAAGTCACCTCTGAACATCCCTTGCCTTCAAGCCCCTCTAGGGGTCACCAGACGTCAGCTTGACTTAATGGCGTTGACTGGAGCAGGTTGTAAGCAATGTTCCCTTTAAGCTGTGGAGTCTTGTGAGCAAAAATTCTACTTTGTGAGCTGCTGGCATTAAAGTTGTGAGCAAATGATTTGGCTACAGCATAAATTAGCTGGCTCTGGAGCCATCCTCCCTGAGCTAAGACAAAAATCTGTGAGCTGGATGCTAAAATTCTGTGAGCTAGCTCACACTAACTCAGCTTAGAGGGAACACTGGTTGTAAGGACCATATATCACTCCAGTCTTTTTAAAAAAAAATTATTTAAAAAGCTGACTTCTGGTGGACAGTCTTCAAGGGCAGCCCCATGTAGAGTGCATTGCAGTAATGTAATCTAGATGTTCCCAGGGCATGCACCCCAGTGTCAGTAACGTTTTTGTTTTGCTTTTTTAAAAAGACAAATTGATTAACTACAGCGCCCTTGAAGCCAGACCCAATGAAAGATTAATTCCGAGTATTAATTCCAACTTCTGCTTGTTCGTCCAGGCAGAAGAACCAAACAACGAGGAATACATCTCGGAATCGGAAAAGACAGCCATGGATTTGAAAGACCCAAACCGGCCCAGGTTTACTTTACAGGAGCTGCGCGATGTTCTGCACGAGAGAAACGAACTGAAGTCTAAAGTCTTCCTGCTCCAAGAAGAACTTTTGTATTATAAGAGGTGGGGCGCGATGCATTGGAACTTTTGGTTCCCAGACGCAATTGGTTTTTCTGGGTTGGGGGAGCAGGCGGGCCTAAGGCTGTACTGGATCCAGCTGTTATGCCACAAGCCTGTGGTCAGTCCTTGGAGAGCATGTCTCATTGCAGTGGCAGAGTAAAACAGGGTTGGGGTGGGGAAGATTTCTGGGTTTAGAGGCCCCCAATGCCAGTTTCAGTGCAGGTTGTTCTCAGTGTTTCCTCTTAACTGAGTTAGTGTGAGCAAGCTCACAGTTTCTTAGCCTCCGGCTCACACATCTTTGCCTTAGCTCAGGAAGGATGGCTCCAGAACAGACTAATTTATGCAGCAGCCAAACTGCTCGCTCACAACGTTAATGCCAGTAGCTCACAAAGTAGAATTTTTGCTCACAAGACTCCATGGTGGTTCTCCCTGTTTTTGTTTTCTCTGGTGCGCACAGCCGTGCTGGGAATTTGCCGTAGATCTGACGAGCCGTATATAGCTGCGCATGATTTATTTCCCTGTCCTGTTCCTTTTCTGTTTTGTACAGCGAGGAGGCTGATGAAGAAACAAGATCCCCTCAACCTACACCCGTCATTCACGCAAAACCCTCCGCCCAGCCAGAATCCGGAATCAAACGGCTGTAAGTAACATCCTATCAATTCTTGCATTTTGTCTCCTGAGGCTAGCAAGGTGACGTGACTGCAGAGTTATCCTCAGTCAAAGAGACAGTGTAGCTGGAATGCAAGGCAGAAATATATAAATGTATACACACACACACACATATGTATATATATTTAAAGTTAAGCACTGAGAAGATTCTTTTGAACTATGGTGCTGGAGAAGACTCTTGAGAGTCCCTTGGACTGCAAGAAGATCAAATCAGTCAATCGTCAAAGAAATCAACCCTGACTGTTCCCTGGAAGGCCAGATAATGAAACTGAAGTTCAAATACTTTGGCCACCCAATGAGAAGGGAGCACTCCCTGGAGAAGACCCTGATGCTGGGAAAGATTGAAGGTCAAAGAAGACGGGGACGGCAAAGAAGAAGAAGAGATTGGATTTATACCCCGTCCTTCACATGGAGTCTCAGAGCGGCTTACAAACTCCTTTCCCTTCCCTTCCCCTCCCCACAACAGACACCCTGTGAGGTGGGTGGGGCTGAGAGAACTCTGACACAAACTGCTCTTTCAGGAACAGCTGTGCCAGAGCTTGTGACTGACCCAAGGTCACATCAGCAGCTGCAAGTGGAGGAGTGGGGAATCAAACCCGGTTCTCCCAGATTAGAGTCCGCACACTTAACCACTACACCAAACTGGCTCTCAAACTGGATGAGATGGTTAGACAGTGTCATAGATGCAACGAACATGAAGTTGAGCCAACTTCAGAGGACGGCGGAAGACCGGAAGGCCTGGCGTGATCTGGTCCATGGGGTCGCGAAGAGTCGGACTTGACTGTGCGACTGAACAACAACACTGAGAAGTGGCTTTCTTTTGTTGTTGTTAAAGAACAGGGCCAGCTCTTGCCATTCGTGCTCCAAGCAGAAACTCTCCTTTCGTTTCCATCTCTCTCGTTTGCGGGCGGCCTTTTAGAAACAAGAGGAACAAAAGCCTGTGTATTGTGTGATGCGATGCAGCCAGCTGAGCTTTAGTAGAGCATAATAATGACTGTGTGCGTTGTTTTTGACACTAAGAATAGCTGCCCCCAAAGGAGCTCTGTTGGGAATGTCTCAGAGCTGTGTTAGGTCACCAGTTGTTGTTTTTTTAGAAAAAACACCTCTTGGGTGATCTTAGCAATGTCCTTGTTTAACGGCAGTGCGGTGGGACCGGGGCCATCGCCAGAGTGTCTCGCATCCCCTGGAGCACTGATTTGCTTCACTTGAGAATTTACACTCTGAACGTGTAGAATCAAGTTGCCTCCTATTTGAATTTCTTCCCCCTCATTTCCAAAAGCTTCTGGTGCCTCCCCAAAGCAGTGCTTCTCCAAAGTCTACCCGCCTGATCTGCCGTCCCCAAAGTTTCTTCTAACAGGGTAGCCAACCTCCAGGTGGGGCCTGGAGCTCTCCCCAAATTACAGCCGATCTCCAGACATCAGAGACCATTTCCCTGGAGAAAATGGCTGCTTTGGAGGGTGGACTCTAGGATGTGATACCCTGGTGAGCACCCTCCCCCTCCCCAAATACTGCCCTTACCAGGTTCCGTCCACAAATCTCTAGGAATTTTACAGCCCAGAGATGAGGAGGAGGAGGTGGTGGTTGTTGGATTTATACCCCACCCTTCACTTAGAGTCTCAGAGCGGCTTACAAACTCCTTTCCCTTCCCCTTCCTACAACAGACACCCTGGGAGGTGGGTGGGGCTGAGAGAGCTCTTGACAGAAACTGCCCTTTCAAGAACAGCTCTGACAGAACTATGGCTTGCCCAAGGTCATCCAGCAGCTGCATGTGGAGGAGTGGGGAACCAAACCCGGTTCTCGTCCTCACAGATTAGAGTCTGCACACTTAACCACTACACCTGACTGGCTAACAGTCCAATCCTGCTAGGGAGCGAGCAAAGCGATTGCTGCCATTGTTGTTCCTAAGTCTCAGACTGAGACAGACTCTCTTGGGGCGGATGGCAGTCTCTTCCTCGCCTTTGTAACAAGTCCTCTGTGTAATAACCTGAAGTTAACGCCCACGTCTCTTGTTTGTTTGGCTTCCATTCTTTTTTATTTCCTTCTCTTCTTGGTTTGGTGTCTCCTCTGCCTTCACCTCACCTTCCTCCTTTGGTTCGTAAGCTCACGGCCCCCCGATGAAAAGTCCAACAGGCTGCAGCACAGACCCCCAACGCGGTGCCCGCCAACCCTTTACCTGGTGCCCGCAAAGTGTTTTCAGAAAGTGGGTGGAGCCAAGTGGGGCTGTTGCCTAGCATGCCTTCTGATTGGCCACTGGAGATCTGATTGACTGTGCAAGTTAAAATAACACTGCTTTGGCGGGAGGCGCCATCGTAGTGTTAGTTTTATTCTCTCTCACTCCTTTTCCAGCCTGTTTTTAAAATGATTCCTCTTTTTGCCGGCACTTGAACTTCCTCTGGGTTTGTGACCTAGCCGCACTTCCTATGGCAGTCATTTTGTGGCTGTGCCAACCGCCCTGTGCCAGAGTACCAAAGGTGCCCACAGGCTCAAAAAAGGTTGGGGACTCCGGCCTACGGGCTTTCTAGCTCAACTGACCTTTCATTACCTTTGCAGAGATTGATGTGTATCTACATTATATCCCTGATCCTTTCTCCTTAGAAGTTGGAATGTTTGTGAGCATTCCATGGCAGCATGGCTCTCAGTCCTCGACGAGCAGTTGGCAGTCACCTCTGAAACCAATGTTTTATATATATAGCCTTATCATTATATACGAGCACATTAACCACTAACTGAGTTTAATCCTGCTTTTGAAGTCTGCCTCCTGGAAGATCAGATCGATTTTGTTTCTCAAATATATGATATGATTCGCTACCAGGAAAACGAACAGTGCTGCATGAAATAACTGACAACCAGTGTTCCCTCTAAGCTGAGTTAGTGTGAGTTAGCTCACAGTTTTTTAGCCTCCAGCTCATAAATTTTTCTCTTAGCTCAGGAAGGATGGCTCCAGAGCAAACTCCAGAGAGCCAGTTTGGTGTAGTGGTTAAGTGCGCAGACTCTAATCTGGGAGAACCAGGTTTGATTCCCCACTCCTCCTCTTGCAGCTGCTGGATGACCTTGGGCAAGCCATAGTTCTGTCAGAGCTGTCCTTGAAAGAGCAGTTCTCTCAGAGCTCTCTCAGCCCCGCCTACCTCCCAGTGTGTCTGTTGTGGGGAGGGGGAGGGAAAGGAGTTTGTAAGCTGCTCTGAGACTCCGAGTGAAGGGCGGGGGATAAATCCAATCTCCTCCAATCTCCTCCTCCTCCTCTTCTTCTTCTTCTTGCAGTAGCCAAATCGTTCGCTCACAACTTTAATACTAGTGGCTCACAAAGTAGAATTTTTGCTCACAAGACTTCACAGCTTAGAGGGAACATTGCTGACAACCTCCCCCAACGTAGGCACAGTCTGTCACCTTATATGTCAGTTTGCAGTGAGACTTAAATTGGTGCCGTATCTCAAGCGCAGCAAACGTGCAGTGTTTGGAACCCGTGACCTAAGTTCCCTGCCTGTTGAAGGCGCCTCCAGACAATCCTGAGGACAAGTAAAGGATTTATTTTATGTGAGCACCGCCAAAAACGGAGCGGGGCCGGAAGTCTGGTTACCACGAAGAATGTTGGGAAACAAATTCCCTTATCTCTGTGTGTGTCACAACTGGGAAAAAATATTTCAAATTCCTAGCTGGCAGGATCTTTTATTGAGTTGCTTGGGCTCCCCGACACCTGGGAAATCCAGCTCTGCTTTTGCTTGTCTAACTTCAGGTATATTTAATTGCACCTGACTCAGAGAAAGCAGCTGGCGGATGGTAACGGTGGGTTTTGCTGCATTAATACCCCAAAAACTAACCCCCTAAGGCAGGGGTGTCGAACTCATTTGTTATGAGGGCCGGATCTGACATAAATGAGACCTTGTTGGGCCGCGGCTGCTGGCACCAGACTTGCCTTCCAATTATTGCATCAAAAGGTCTGTGCTGTTGCAATCTTGAGTGTGCTGTTCAGGTGTGTCTCTGTAAGCTGCAAACCTGCAATGACACAGCAGCAGCAGAACTGGAAGCAGAAGCAGAAGACAGCCAGTTCCACTGCGGGCCTGATAGAAGCCCTCCGGGGGAGGGAGGCTGATCCGGCCCCCCGGGCCACATGTTTGACACCCCTGCCCTAGGGCCTTCACTGCCCAAACTCTGGTCAAGAACCTGAGAACTGTTTAATAACGTGCCTCAGAGGAGCTTTGGGTGCATTTTCCCTCAAACAACAAGCCACGCCCCTCACACCGTGCTACACGGCAAAGCACTTTTTGAGGTGTTGAGGATTAAGACTGGATCCTCCGCTTGACACCCCCAAACTGTAAACACTGAGAGAAAACTCTCAGCTCTGGCCAAGATAGCCCAGTCTGCCCACAGTCTCAGAAGGAGTCGGGGGGGTTACCACAGCCCAGTGGGAGGGTGAAGCTCTTCATTGGGTTCCTGCGACATTTAAACCTGGATTTCTGGGAGCGCAAGATAGGACCCTGTCAATCACCAAGGCTGGCTTAGGGATGCCAGCCTCCAGGTGGGACAACACACAAACAAACCCTGCGATATGACCAACATTAGGACAATAGCTTTTTAAAACTTTATAAGATTGCAAAAATTCTCAATTATACAACATCGTAAAAAAGTCCAACATAGTCCAACATTATGAGTACCCGGTTATGAACTCATTTCAGCTTTACAGTCTTCCTCAGATATAATCCTATATTGTCAGGAGGTGTCATCTTCTTAATCCAGCTCAGTATTGTAATTCCTTAATTCCTTCATAATATCCTGGAATAAGCCATAATCAATGAAAAAACCACATGTAGCTGCATGGAAAATAGTTATTTTAAACTTATAACGATTTAATAATTTAGTTTTTAGAAAACTTACTTCTGGTTCCATAATAAGTGTTTATATTGGGAGCAAACCAAAAGCCATCTGGGTTTTGCTGGCTATGCTCTCCATAAGCACTGTCTATTTTGGTGGTAGCAAACCAGTCCTTATTTCACCCGGCTAGAAGCCTTCATTTTCTGGCTGGCAAATGGTCTCTACATCTAACTGGATCCAGACTCTATAAAGACTATACTAGTTAATTCCATGCAGCTGCATGTTGAACAACTCTTCCTTAAAGTAACATGACATTATTGCAGGCTGAACCTCTGTAAATATATCGACTATTAAATTTCTTATAATGATTGTGATCATCATTGTGTACATCCCCAGTAGAAACAGCAAAAAACAAAAGAGATCACAGGTATCCCACAGGAAAAAACAACACACAAACAAACCCTGCGATATGACCAACATTAGTACGATAGCTTTTTAAAGTTGAAATGTAAAGTTGAAATGAGTTAATAACTGGGTACTCACTGTGGTGGCTCAAGTGGTTAAGACGCTGAACTGCAGGCTGTGGAAGGTCGGTAGTTCAGCAGTTCGAGACCCGAGTGAGCCGCATGACGGAGTGAGCTCCCGTCTCTAGTTCCAGCTCCTGCCAACCTAGCAGTTCGAAAGCAAGAAATTGCAAGTAGATAAAGAGGTACCACTTCAGTGGGAAGGTAACAGCGTTCCGTGCGCCTCGGTGTCTAGTCATGCCGGCCCCATGACCACGGAAACGTCTTCGGACAGCGCTGGCTCTTCGGCTTTGAAATGGAGATGAGCACCGCAACCCTAGAGTCGGACTCAACTGGCTTTCGAGCAAGGGAGACCTTTACCTTTACCTTTTTACTCATAATGTTGGACTATGTTGGACTCTTTTACAATATTGTATAACTGAGAATTTTATACAGTTTTACAAAGCTATCGTACTAATGTTGGTCATATCGCAGGGTTTGTTTGTGTCTTCTTTTTCCTGTTGGATACCTGTGATCCCTTTTGTTTTTTTGCTGCAGCCTCCAGGCGGGACCTGGGGATCCCCCGGAATTCCAGCTCATCTCCAGACTACAGAGATCAGTTCCCCTGGGAAAAAAATGGGTGTTTTGGAAGGTGGCTTCTGTGGCATTGTACCCCACTATGGTCCCTGTCCTCCCCAGGCTCCACCCCCAAATCTTCAGGAGTTCCCCAACCTGGAGCTGGCAACCCTACCACCCAACCCCTCATCGGCAGCCAAGGGGGGGGGGACCTGGCAGGCCCACAGTGGCCAGAACAAGCCCTGCGCAGATTGCCAGAGGCGCTTCAAGCCAGGCCATGGGGAAGTTCCTTTTTATTTCCCCCTTCCCAGAGCCTGGCCCTCCTGAGAACTCGCGGTCAGGCTTTCTGATGCGTCTGTCTCTGACCCTGCTGAGTCTTAACCTCTCCCTCCTCCTCTCTTTCGGAAGGTTTAGCTTCTTTTCCCGGGACAAGAAACGGATGCAAGCCACGCAGAGGAACGCCTCCTTCCAGGATTCCTTTGGCCAGTGGGCCGACGCGAACAAAGACGACATGTACACCGAACAAGGTCTGGAAGCCCTGCAGCATCTGTGACCGGAACAAAACGACGGTTTGGTCGCTTTGCTAACAAAACGTGGAGAAACTCGCCTAGCAGAGAGCGGCCCACGGATACGTTCCCCCCCCCCAACTCCCTCGCCTTACACATCGTGATTGGCATTAAAGAGCTTATTTCCGGGCCGATTTCCAAAAGGGATCCCTTAGCGTTTACTTCCAGCTGCCGAAAAGCAAGATTCGGGCATCCGTCATGATGGCTTCGTATACTCTGGTGTAGCCACACTCCTAGATCACTGGCTGTGTGTCGATTTAACAAGCTCGTGGGTGTCTTCTGGGTCTCGTTTTGGGGTTGTTTTTTTTAATCACTGCATTAACTGCACTTAACATTTCCCTTAAACCAAAAAAAAAGAAAGAAAGAAAGAAAACAGATTTGTGTTGTTACGAAGAACTTGTACCGGCAGTCCGGTTGAAGACTTTCTTTGCCTGATGGCAGAAGGAGCACCAGAGATTTCGGTTCATTCGTTTCTTCTTCTGCTAATGACCGATTTAAGGGACTCTGTACTTGTCGGTCTTCTCTGTCATAGCAGGAGGTTCGTCAAAGTTGTAGCTGACCTCTCCCCCCCCCACACCTCTAGTGGTACCTCCCTTTCGCCAAAGGAATCCATTTCAGACAGACGGCCAGTGCAAATCCTGGAACTGGATCGGAACAGGCTCGGAACTGTGTATTTTTGGTTTATTTATAGTGCCTAAAGCATGACCACGTACAGGGTGTGAGGGTGCCTTGCAGTTTTTGCTATGACTTCTCTGACTTATTAATGGAAACTAAACTGTAGAACTTCATGCTAACCTTTTTAAAAAATGTATCCTCGTTACCCCGGTTGCCACTCTCTTTATTGCCCTCTTCTGCAAAGGGCAGAGAGTTTCTTTTCCACAAGGTCCTCAGGAACAAAGTGAGGCGGCTTTTAAACCACTTCCCACCGGATATAGGGTCAGGAGCAGTGTTCTCTCTAAGCTGAGTGTGAGCCAGCTCACCGTTTTTTAGCCTCCGGCTCACACATTTTTGATTTAGCTCAGGAAGGGGGGCTCCAGAGCAGACTGATTCATACAGCAACCAAATCGCCTGCTCACAACTTTAATGCCAGTAGCTCACGAAGCAGAATTTTTGCTCACAGGACTCCACAGCTTACAGGGAGCATTGGTCAGGAGGATCCCAAGAGCTGTAAGAGGCTTGCTTGTTTATTACCGGGAATCCTAATCCCATTTGCATTTTATTTATTTTGTATCCCATTTTTCTCCCCAGCTGGGAGTCAAAGCCGCTTAGAACATTGTTCTCCCCTCATCTGTTTTCTCACAACAACAACCCTATGAGGTAGGCCATGCTGAAGGTCTGCAACAGGCCCAAGGCCACCCAGCAAGCTTCCGTGGCAGAAGTGAGGATTCGAACCCGGGTTACCCACAGTCCTAGTGTGCTACTCTACCCATTACAGCACACTAGCTAACATGGGGTCATAGAGACTGGGGGGAGTTGCTGCGTGGGTCCTGATCCACTCAGATTACGTTGGACTGTCCCGATGCAAGTTCTTTGGAGATTAAATGCTGCTTTGACACAAACATGCAGATAGAAAAACTATCACAAGCAGGGAGACAGGGTCAGTTTGCTTTCTTTGCCTGATCTGCTGGTTTTGCAGGGAGTTCTCTTTTTTAAATATTTAAAATGTGATCCTCTGCCTGCAACCTGATGTATGGAATCTATATTTCCACTTTGGGTCTCTGCCATCTTATTCCCCCCACACACACACAAGTGTAAACCAGGTTTGATCCCCAGCCTGCAATACAGAAGAGGAAAAAACTCTAGATAATGAACATTTTAGGGATTTGTTGTAAAGGGCTTATGAATATTTGCAAAGCGATTCTAAGCCTTTGGAACAACACTACATAAATGATTGTTCTGGGCTGTACACTAATAACTCATGAGCAGATTTGTAGTTTCTTTTTAAAATTACACTGTAGTGCCTAGGAATGGGCACGAACCAAACCACAAAGCAAAATTCGTCACGAGTTTTGCCTTGTTCGTGGTTCCTGAACTGAAGCTTGTGACTGGTCTACCATCACGAACTTCCATGAACTTTTAAATCAGTTCATGGTGATTCGTAGCTAGAGCAGAAAGCAGGAGTTTAAAGGGACTCTTGAGTCCCTCTGAACCTCTGCTTTCTGGTCCCTGCACCGGGGACCTGCTTCCTGACGCTCAGCTGTTTTATGAGTTTCTTGTGCAGTCCCTTTAAAGTTTAAAGGGACTACACAAGGCAGTCCGAAATAGCTAAGCAGCGGAGAGTTTGCCACTCAGCTGTTTATCGGGCTTTCCGCAAATCCAATTTAAAGGGACTGCAGTCCCTTTCAGCGGGTTTTTCCGGGCCACAGACTGGTTCAGTTTGGTTTGTGGTTCAGTCACGAACCACATTTTTTTGGTTTGCCGTTCATGCCCATCCCTACTAGTCCCTTTTTGTAAAACATGTTTAGGTCCCAGCGATTACTGAGTACTTGGAATAAACCTAGTTTATTCGTGGAGGTCTTATCAGTGGCTAAAGCCATAGTGACCAAAGGGAACCTCCATGTTCCAGTCAGCCTCTGAAATCCAGAGCCAAGAAGAGGCATCAGGGGAAGGCCTCGGCCTCTATGCCCTGTTGTTGGCCCTCCAGAGGAACTGGTTGGCCACTGTGTGAGACAGGATGCTGGACTAAATGGACCCTCACCGGTCTGACCCAGCAGGGCTCTTCTGATGCTCTTATCAGGGGAAGGCCTTGGTCTCTCTACCCTGTTGTTGGCCCTCCAGAGGAACTGGTTATCCCCTGTGTGAGACAGGATGCTGGACTAGATGGACCACTGGTCTGATCCAGCAGGGCTCTTCTCATGTTCTTAGTTCTAAGTTCCATTGACTTCACAGAGCTTCCATTGGTTTAAATTGCGGTATCTTCCCTCTTAGCTCTGCAGTGAGCTACTACCAGGTCTCTTAATAAAGCACGAGCTTTTTCAAGAAGTGCAGATTCCCTTCAGGAAGTTCCTTACACAACAGCAGGACTGTAGGGGACCCTTGAACAAGACACCTTCACTCGGCCGCCTTGAGCTGGAACAAGAAGGACGTGCCAACCAGTGTTCCCTCTAAGCTGAGTTAGTGTGAGCTAGCTCACATTTTTTTAGCCTCCGGCTCACACAATTTTGTCTTAGCTCAGGAAGGATGGCTACAGAGCAAACTAATTTATGCAGTAGCCAAGCTGCTCGCTCACAATTTTAATGCCAGTAGCTCACAAAGTAGAATTTCTGCTCACAAGACTCAACAGCTTAGAGGGAACATTGGTGCCAACCAAGAATTCTCACCTGCCTCGGTCCTTGCTAGGTGCATAGCAGTGAGAGAACACTGAGACTGTCTTGGATCCTGCCTGCAGTCCGAGGCTGCCTCAGTACCGCGGTCCTGTGGCCCGCTTTGCCCTGGTCAGAAGAGTTCTTGAACAATTGATGTCATAAGATTTGTTTTGAAAGACGGTTACAGCTGCCCAAAGGGGAGGATTGATTTGGGGAGAGGGCAGTGGTTCAGGTACAGAACACCTGTTTTGCACGCAGAAGGTCTCAGGGCTCCATCCCTGGCCACACTTGCCAAAGGATCTCTCTAGGAAGCAGGTGCTGGGAAAGAAAGCTGTTGCCAGAAAAAAACAATAGGTTAGGTAGGCCACTGGTCTGACTTGGTGGAAGGGATATTCCTTTGTACACCTGGGGGGACGATTTACTACAGTCTGGGGTTTTCAGACTTGGGACACACCGATAGCACATCTCCTTGATGGAACTGGCCTCTCCAGGGAAAGGGAGCTTGAATAGCCAAGCTGGGAAAGATGTCTCTCTGCCCAAGACCTTTGAGAGATGTTGCTAGTCAGTATATCAGGGGTCCCCAAGGTAGGGCATTAGGTGCCATGGTACCTGCCAAGTGTTTTTAGAAAACGGGTAGAGCTTGCTGGGGCTTCTGCCCAGCAAGATTTCTGATTGGCCATTGAAGAGTTGATTGGCTATGCAGATTTTATTTTTTAATTGCTTTGGCGAAAGCTGCCACCGCAGCACAAGGGCCTTCACTGCATGACTGAAGGTAAGCTACGGCAGCCATTTTGTGTTTGGCAATTCCTCCTGCAGTGGCCATTTTGTGCCTGTGCCCACCACCCTGTTTCAGAATCCCAGAGTTTCACACAGGCTCAAGAAGGCTAGGGACCGATGTTCCCTCTAAGCTGTGGAGTCTTGTGAGCAATAGGAGTATATGACACTGAACACCAGGAGCTGCGGTGGCTCACGTGGTTAAGACGCTGAACTGCAGGCTGTGGAAGGTCAGTAGTTCAGATGTTCAAGACCCTAGAGTCGGATTCGACTGGCTTTCGAGCAGGGGAAACCTTTACCTTACCAGGGGACCAACGCTCTAGTTTGGGAGAAGGCCTCTTCATATATTGTTTGTTTTAAAAATGAGAAGATGGATGAAGGTTTCGGCACATAATGGACTGATCCAACTCATGTCTAAGGGGAAGCCGTTTCCGCTGTTCAAGGGGATGTCCTCCTTGCACCGCCACTTACGAGGCCGAGCATCCCGTTGATTCTCAGAGCTGTTTCCAAGTAAGACAACCAAGGTTGAGGTATATTTAGGATTGGGCTGCTTTATTTTGCGAGGGCAGCTTGGTTTGATCTTGGCAGAGCTCCCTGTGCAGTTGAAGCTTTTCCTGGCAGATGCTGGGTGGAGAAAAATAAGGGTAGAGGCCCCAAAGGTTGGCATGCGTGTGGCAGTCTTTCCATCACATCTCCCACAGAGCCCTGGTCCTCATCCCACTAGTCCATTCACTACCATGTGATACTGTTGTCTTGACTCCGGGTTATATCTGAGGGGTTTCGCCATCCGTGTTCATGCAACATTTCCCTCCCATTTATCATTTCTGATTCCAGAAGAGATCATGAAGAAATAAGGTGGAATTGTGCTTTATCTACTGCATTTTTCTTCTCAGCAGTGTTGCAAGCGGAGAATCTTCACTGAATTCCTGGATACCTCAGTATATGTGCATGTGTCAAAGGTGTGGCATACCCCAGTGAGGGCAAAGAATAGTCCTGTTCACACATTACAGTGAACACGCGTACATCCTGCCTATATGTGCATACATCTGTTTGCGAATGACACCAGGAACCAGTGCCTAAATAAAGGTGGGGTTTCAATCACGCACATATAAACCAAAATCAAGTGTACACTGTATGTGGATTGTGGGTGTGTTTGCTGTAACTTGTGAACAGGGCAACAGTCAATGCTAGGGCTCTGTGTGGATGCCTGAGCACAGGGTGAATAGAATTTTTATTTCACAAAATGTATCTCCTGCCTCATTGCCTTCAGAAGGGCCGCAAAGGTCCAAGAAGATGCAGACAGAGACTTCAGTTTGGTGTACTGGTTAGGAGCACGGACTCTAATCTGGGAGAACTGGATTTGATTCCCCACTCCTTCACCTGCAGCTGCTGGTGTGACCTTGGGTCAGTCATAAGTTCTTTCAGAGCAGTTCTCAGGAGAGCTCTCTCAGCCCCACCTACCCCACAGGGTATCTGTTGTGGGGAGGGGAAAGGAAAGGAGACTGTAAGCCACTCTGAACGGCAGGGTATAAATCCAATCTCTTCTTCACCAGCCTTTAGATGCTGATGGAATTCAGGTTCCGCTCAGCTCTATTAAAACAAAAGATTTTCACCCAGACTAATGCACATATTAGACTCAATTATTCAAATCCTTACTTGGCATAATGTATTTTGCCTGCCTTGTAGCAGGGAAGGGCAAAGAGTTGGGTAGAAAACTGTCTACGACAATTCTTGCTCATTGTTCTTCTCCAAAGGAGATCTTTGCCATGAGGACTAGAACCCCTCTTAGAAATGGATAGCTGAGATTCTCAGGCAGCTGAATTCCCATATGATCAAACACATAGTTGAGGGGGTCTCTAACCTTTTTGAGCCTGTGGGCACCTCATGCAGGGTCAGTGCTCCCTCTAAGCTGAGTTACGTGTGAACTAGCTCACAGTTCTTTAGCCTCCGGCTCACACATTTTCGTCTTAGCTCAGGAAGGAGGGCTCCGGAGCAAACTAATTGATGCAGTAGCCAAATCGCTCGCTCACAGTTTTAATGCCGGCAGCTCACAAAGAGGAATTTTTGCTTACAAGACTCCGCAGCTTAGAGAGAGTATTGTGCAGGGTGGAGGGCGCAACCACAAAACAGCTGCTCTAGGAAGTCAAGCCAACCACAGAATAGCTACCACGGGAGGCAGAGTCACACTCCCCCCTATAGGAAGTCCAAGGGTAGGGGAGAAGTAATTTTAAAAATATAAGAGGAATGAGAGACTAAAAGTAACAGCATGGTGGTAGCTGCCGCTGAAGCAACTTTATTTTAATCTGCACAACCAATCAGATCTCCCCATCTGCCTTTTAAATAGACTCAGCAGGTAAGGTGTTGGTGGGCACCGTGTTGGAGACTTCTAGCATCGCCTAACAGACAGCACTGAGAATACCCACAAGCTGTTGTGTTTTCCCTGAAGGTTTTGGCCAGACCTGAGTCCCATCCCAAACAATAATAGGCAGATCCTACCACTTAGTCCCTCTATGGCGGTTAATGCTCTAGTCAGTGCCTCTGAACTTTTAACGTTTAACCAATTGTCGTACGGAAGGAATCTCTCCACGCAATTGCCTGGAGATGTCTAACATACTGGACAGGGAATCGATGCAACTGTGGGATATGCAAAGCAGGAAATGTGTGTAAAGATTCAGGATATTACAAGGTTAAAAATGGCAATAAATGGGGTTTGGAGGGCGGGTGGGAAGAGGGCTGGGGTTAACTGTAGATCTTTTTAATAACCTAAATAAACTATTTCTGAATTACATGAGAAGTCTCCCGCAGTATTTAAACATTATTATCGTATAGCTGCCGCCGATGAATCTGCAACTTCATTTAAAATAAAATACGTGGAATTCAGGTCCCAGTTCATGTCCTTGGCCTTACAGCCCATTTTTAGAAGACACCAGACATTCTAATTCTCTTTCCTGTTCACAACAATTCCTAAACCCGGGTCCTTTATAACATTCCCCCGGCCTTTTCTCCTTGGCGTTTCCATTTCTCAGCCTAATTAACCACGTACTCCTCTTTCCCTCGGACTCTACTTCTCCCATGCCACCTATCCTATTTCTTTTCCTTTCACTGCTTTGTGCATCTAGCCCCTCTTGTTATCGTTTTACATCATCTCCAGATCTGTTTCCTTTTTTAAGCAGAAACTGCACTGTTTATGAACATTTAGCTGCTGATGGTTTTCACCTGAGCAGTTAGAATATTTATGAATCTTCCAAGGCGTGCCCCTAAAAAACTTGGAGAATGTGAGCACACAGGCATCATAAGAACATAAGAGAAGCCAATGTTGGATCAGGCCAGTGGCCCATCCAGTCCAACACTCTGTCACACAGTGGCCAGAAATACCAGGGGCCATCAGGAGGCCCACCAGTGGGGCCAGGACACTAGAAACCCTCCCACTATTCTCCCCCCCCAAGCACCAAGAATACAGAGCATCACTTGCCCCAGCCTGAGAGTTCCTATCTATACCTTGGGGCTAATAGCCACTGATGGACTTCTGCTCCGTATGTTTATCCAATTCCCTCTTGAAGCTGTCCATGCTTGTAGCCACCACCCCCTCCTGTGGCATTGAATTCCATGTTAAGCACTCTTTGGGTGAAGAAGGACTTCCTTTTATCTGTTCTACCTCACAGGGTGTCTGTTGTGGGGAGGGGAAGAGAAAGGAGTTTGTAAGCCGCTCTAAGACACCTTTGGGTAGTGAAGGGCGGGGTATAAATCCAATCTCTTCTCTTCTCTAACCCGACCGCTCAGCAATCTCATGGAGTGCCCACGAGTTCTTGTATTGTGAGGAAGGGAGAAGAGTACTTCTTTCTCAGCCTGCTCTGTCCCACGCATAATCTTATAAACCTCGATCATGTCGCCCCTCAGCCATCATTCCTCCAAGCTAAAGAGCCCCAAGCACTTTAACCTTTCTTCATAGGGAAAGGGTTCCAACACTTTGATCATTCAAGTTGCCCTTTTCTGCACCTTTTCCAGTGCTATAATATCCTTTCTGAGATGTGGTATGACCAGAACTGTACACGGTATTCCAAACGAAACCCAAGCTTATCAGAGCGGCCTCCTCCCCTTGAGAGAGAACAGAAACTCTTGTAAGGACTCCAGAGAAAACTGTAGGGAGAAGCCCTCATGACCCCTGTCCTACATCCCTAGCTTGGGCATACTCTGATCTAGGTCTAAAATTGGTTAAGATGCCCGTTTCGTGTACTTAAGAGGTCAAATTAGTACAGATCACAGCTACACTAGTGTCCATTCAATGTAATCCCTCCCATTGAGAAAGCCAGTTTGGTGTAGTGGTTAAATGCGCAGACTCTAATCTGGGAGAACCGGGTTTGATTCCCCCCTCCTCCACTTGCAGCTGCTAGATTATTATTATTATTATTATTATTATTATTATTATTATTATTATTATTATTATTATTATTATTATTATTATTATTATTATTATTATTGATGATCTAA